TAAGTTGTAAAAAACTATTTGAAATCTGTAGACTTTATCACTGCTGTGTTGCTGTTTTGATGACCTCCTTTGTCTTCACACTGCTACCACCCAGGTTAAGTTTTCTCTGTATTTTTCCTAGAGTTAAAGTCTTCCAAGTGGTCCCCCACCCTCTGGTCTCTCTCCTTTCCCTCCATTCTACATGCTGCTCTCAGGTTACCCTTGCCAACAGGTAACTTGGGCCCTGTCACTGCCTCCCACCCTAATCACACAGCTCGTGAACACTCACAAGTAAGCCATCTGCTAGGTCCTGGCCTTTCCCACTCATTCCAACCCCTGTGTGTCCTGTGTGTCCATGAACACCTGTGGTGCCTTCATACCTCATCCTGAGGTCTGCAGACCTGGGAGGAGGGCACTGTGGGTGGGATGTGAAGGTGGCCTCCAAGTTAAGAGGAAAGGTGCGACTTACACAGGCACATTCTATTGACCTCTGGGATAAAGATTCAACTAGAAATCAAGGTGTGATCCTTAAGGTTTAGAGTGCTTTAGATTTTGTCATCTTTAAAAGTGGCTTTCTAAGCTGTGCACTCAGTGTATTAAAAACAAACAAACAAACAAACACCTGGTTTTAAGAAAGTGTGAACAAGGCACATGAATTTTCCCTCAGTCTTGCCTACCAGTTTCTCCTTCATTACAGATGAAGTTCTAGGGATGGGACAACAACTTTGTGCCAGGCCTGGTGCCCAGCACTTGACTACACACAATCATTCGATCTTCCCTGTGACCACAAGAGGTCGCTATTATCCCCCACATTTCACAGAAAAGGGGCCTGGATGCTCCAAGGATTTACGCAAGGAAGCTAGGTTCTCATTGCTAGTAACTGACAGGCCAGCATTTAACTTCTGATCTGTTTGACCCCCATATCATGCTGTCTTGGAGGCTGAATCTACAAATCCAAGTTTCAAAGGGATGCAGCAATTCCATCTCGATTCCTTAACAATCTGCTGCATTGTCACATTGCTGCTTCTTCCTCAAGTGACCAGGTTGCTCATGTAGACCAGCCATGGCCCCAGGAAGAGCCTTCCACTCACATCTCTCCTCCTGAGCACAGCAATGCTGCTACTACTAACACTGCTACTGAAGTCATTCCCTTCTCCTAGCACCCCTCCACCTTGGCTAACACTGACGAGTACTTTCTCTTGGTCATCTGAGCTCTCTACAGACATGATTACATTGCCTTCTGGGGTGGGAGGGTAAGGCATTTAGAAAAGTATTTCAGCCTAAACTATAACCAGAAAAGACACCAGCATTCTGGCTGCCTGTCATTACCAAATCCAATAAGCAATGACAGCGATTGAATCTTTTATGGGCGCTTTATTCAGATGGCCGGTGATCCGAGAAGATGGCAGGTTCATACCCTAACAAATCATCTTCCCTTCTCTTTCCAGGCCAGATGTTTTATAAGGAGGTGGGGGAGGACAAACAAGGTGTGATGAGGGCTTTGAGATTCAGAAGCTGCAACATTCCTGTCCTGGGCAGTTAGTTGTTCTCTAGGGGAGGGTCCTCCTCTGCTCTCCCTGGAACACAAAAGGCCCAGATGCCTCCAACTTGTCCCCAGGCAGTAATCTCTAGCCAGTGCCCCAGGAGGTCGGCTGTTTTCCCAAAAGCCAGGATGGGCCTTATCTGTAGTTTCTGAAACAAAAGCTTTAACATACACATTACTTGCTAGACTTATAACTTTTTACCTTAAGCTAAAATTTTCTAAGTCTTGAGTCCCCTATCAAAACCATTGATGGGTTGAATTCTTCCTTTTTTTCTCTCCCATAAGTGTATGACTTCACATAGCCAAAAATTAACACTAACTATTTCTGGTTCTGTCAGATCTGTCATCTCAAAGTTTTATTGCAGCTTTCTTTTGTTTCAGTATATTTTCCTTAAGCCTGGGGATACCCCAGGTCCCACTGTACACAGGATGATCTGCTTTGCACCTATTGTATTTACATGGTCATGAACAGTTTCCTCTTTCATTTCCAGAGTGTTTGCTTATGCTACTTAAACCTGCTATTGCAGCTAAGGAGAAATGACAAATGTTTTGCAAGGCTGTAGGGATCACTGCAGGCAGTAACTCTACACTTCTCTCAGAAAGCTTCACCCTGCTAGCATCTTTGCAGACACCCCGTAGGTCCCACTGTGCTTTCTTCTCCTGGGGGTAGGGTGAAGGGAGCTTTGTTCAAGTGAGGGATGCTGGGTCTGTGTGCACAGTGCCTCTCTCCATGCACAACTAGAGGTCCTGCCATTCCAGGAGTGGACTTCATCCTCCTCTTTGCAGGATGAAGAAGAAAATAATGTGCAATAGATTTGCAATCTATACTAAGAAAAGCAAAGAAACATGAGGGCAGAGAACGTTCAAGTCCCACATCAAGATGAATTTCCCTGCCTAAGGAAAGCCTCCCTTAGAAAGCATCCATTATCCACAGCAGTGTGCAGGCTCAGTCTGAGAGGTGATGGTGTTAAAGAACCTTATTTGGAAACTGCAATTTGGTCAAACAGTAATAAGTTTCTATTTTTTAACTTCCATGTGCAATTAGAAAAATGTGATGCTACTGTGGTAATTAAAGAACAATTACTCCCGATTAGAGGCTTCCTGGAAAGCAAGAGCCCCCTCAGAGGTAGTCTGATTGAATGAGGAAGCAAAGGTGAGGATATTTAGAAGGAAAAAAAAACAACTCTTGCTTGGAGGTAATCTAAATTGCTACCAGTGTTGGTGTGCCTGTCAAACGAGTAGGTACACTCTGCAACACTCACACAATGGGGCTTTGCACGAAACACACACTATTTTCAGCACTCACACATGACCACATAATGGATGGCAGAAACCATGTGTGGGGCTGGGATGGGAGTAAAGGACAGAAAACTGTACTTGAACAATGATTAAAATAAAAAAAAAGACATGAAAAAAAAAGAAATCATGTGTGACTCCTGCCTGCACCCCCCTCTCCCTGCAAACCCCATGCACAGTGCTGACATAGTGGTGGTGGTCCACGAAAGAGTCCAAGTGTGGCAGCTGACCTGGCATGTGGCAAATAAGCACCACCATCCTTTTCTCATCCCTGGCCTGTCATTTGGCTGTGCACACTGGCCACCTGACGGTCAGTGGCAGACTGCTTCATTTCGCCAGGCCCTTGGTTGACCTCCCTTCAGGGTAAGGTCACCCATCACGCACATTTTGACCTGGTCCAAGAGCATGTCGGGTGGCTTATTGATCTCCGAGCTTACACCTTCTTACCAGGAAAAAAATGGTACTGATGCTCTGGGAGTGCACTTCAGATCTGATTATAATCTGTCAGTTTGAGATTTTTCAAAAAGTACACATTCCAGAGGGGATGGAGATCTGCTGTGTGACTGATTAATGAACAGATAAGGATATGGGGGACTTGTGGGCATGGTTTTGGCTTGTAGCCTTTAGGGAAGCAAGGAAGGCTCTGGGTCTCGTGGGAGAGGAGGGCTCCAAGGAGCAGGGCTCTCAGCCCCTGTGGTTAGAACCCTGTTAATAAAAACCTGTTTCCTTCAACACTAATTGTTGGGCCATGTGTCAAGACACCAGGCGGCAGAGCTGCTGTTTGCTCGATAATGTTATGTGTCTCTCAGGTTAAGCTTTGAACTGGGAAGCCTCCCTGGGCAGGACTCTCCACACCCAGCAACTGGATCCCAGTGCTGGCAACCAGGGCTGGAACACTACCTTCCCAATTGTTTGGTCCAGGACCTCCAGGGGCTGCATCGGATTCCTAGGGTGTTCCCCAGATTTCCACAATGGAAACCTTCCTCGTGGATCCCAGAGGATTTGCTGATATTTAACAAGCTCCTGGGTAACAAGATAACTGAGTATGGCACCTGGCTTGATTCCTCACATTACAAGGGAAGGGAGAGCATCAGCAGAGTCCTGGGAATTGGCATCCGTGCTCTTCCCTCTGGAAAGAAGTTGCTGGCTCAGATACCTTCTCCCTCTCTTTGGAGCTCCCAGGCATCTATATTCTGGGGGTACTTACCCTATGCCATCTTGTTGCTGCCACACTTTCTAGGTGTGTGTAGAGGGGGAAGGTGGCCAAGGTGAGTGCTGTTATTGGACAGACTTGGGCTCCACATCTAACTTTGAATTCAACAGATCTGTGAACTAGCAAATCATTTCACTTTGAGTTTCAGTTTCTTACTAAAAATAGGGATAATAATGTCTTCTCAAAGAATTTTATTAGGTTTAAATGAAATGATGTTTACCCAGTGCCTGATACAAAGCCAATATCTGATGCATGTCAGTCGATATTATTTGTTAACACACCATGGCCTCCCAGAGGGCAGACGACGTGGTTTTTGTTGCTCCTGCTGGACCTGGTCAGTTAATATTTGCGGATTTGAAGAAGACAGATAAATCTGTTGGTGCTAAATGAAGACCTGAGATGTCTACAGATAGGAAGCACATAAATAAACTAGCCATTAGAAAGAAATTTGGGTGGAGCTGCCCTTCTCCATTTCCACTCACATCTTCCCCTTCCTCTTTTCTTCAATTCCTTTGTGTGTGTGTGTGTGTGTGTGTGTGATTTCTTTTTTTTTTCCTTCAAGGTTAGCTTTCATTTTACGTAGTTAGAATAAAAATAAAAACTAATGATTACTGAGTGTTAGCCATGTGTCAGGCCTTGTCCTCAGCTCTTCATCTGAATTATCTCAACAAATCCTAGGAGCCACTGGCACAATCCCACATTTTAAGGTGAGTGACTTAAAAATGCAGAGGTTTGGGGACTTGCTTCAAGTCACACAACTTGAACTTGGTGGTACCAGGAAAGGAACCAGGCAGACTTTGTGTTCCAAACACTTGAAGACTGTGCATGTCTGTGCACTTGCACTATGTGTACACATACAGTGTGACATGTATATATGTACAGATCACACATAGTGTGATGTGGTGGCATGTGCAACATACATATGATGGTGAGGTGGGAGGCAGTGCATGTAGATATGTGTAGGGAAGGTCAGTGGGGAGAGTGTGAGTGTCTTGCAAACTCCCTGCAGCAGTTCTGGTTCAGAAGTCCATAGATGATACATGCAAGCAGCTGTTGAAGTAAGCCAGGAAGTAGCTCTTAACAAAGAGCCCTTCTGGAACCTGAGGAGCTATTTCTTTTGGGTTAATGGCCATAGCAAGGCTGATGCCGTTCAGTGGGGCCCAGCAGATGGTGAAGATCACAAACACCAGGAACATGTTTAGAAAGTTCCGGATGATGCTGGGCCTCAGGCGCAGCCTGCTCTCTGACTTGGCCTTCCTACCGGCCTGGAGCATCAGCACCCAGATACATAGGGGCTGAGGCTGGTGCAGAGGGCAAGCCATCTACATTCTACTCCCAACTTTCCCTATACATACATACATACATGCACATACCCACACACACACCAGAACATGTACACTGTACATTCTACCACATCACACAATGTGCGGTCTGTATATGTGTACACATCATACTGTACACGTACACATACCACAAGTACACTACACATGCACATTCTTGCTTGAGGCCTGAATGCAGCCACGTTGCCATGTGGGCAGACATGTGGCATGGTGGTTCAGAGTCCAGTCCTGTGGAATGTGGGGGATGATGCTCTGGGTGCTCCCATCTCACAGCCTCTGCAGGCCTCCTGGCTTTGCCTGCACATTCCCCAGCTTCCTAAATGGTCTGCCTCCTCTGAACATAACATTCTCTAAGATCACCAAGCTCAGTCCTTCAGAAAGATCCTTAGAAAACCACACAACCATCAATCAATACGCTTTAGGTATGTTCTGGGCCAGTGTCCTAGGAAGGAGATAGGACATAATCCAAACTGTCTGCATTCTAAAACCAACACTGACTTATGAATAAAACACCAAAACTCTGAAAGTTTGGGCAACATGAAGTTCAAGGGGTGAACAGCTCCATTGCTAATGCCATTTATTTTATTCACCAGGTGCTGTACTTCCTGAGCTACTGTGTGTCCAAAAGATAACCCTCCCACCAGAAGAGGCCCTTAAGGACACAGTGGGTGCTGAACATGGTGCTTCAAGTCTGCTGGCCACTTGCCACATAGTAAATGCCAGCTGCCAGCCTTACAGTGGCTGACACAGAAGGCAGACTGACACAGAGGACTGACATGGATTTTCAGGAGGGACTCTCCAAAGAGGCAAGGGCCACTGATAATGCACTGCCACCACGCATCTGTTCAGCATGCCAGAGGCTGAAGTGACCAGCCCAGGGGGCCAAGGGTCAGGCATATGGATAGAGCCCCTAAGGCACAGTAATTAGAGAGGCCAGGCTGTAGTCTGGCTTCAAGAGGGTTCAGGTAAAGGGAGGCTCAGAGCCACCCAGCTGCAAGTTTGCCTGAGTCAGACCTTTAGGTGCGGTAGACTCCAGACTTGCAGTTGTAACCCTACAACATAGAGAAAGGGCTGTCTTCGGCCCTCGTCTGGCCCGACACACATTCTCACCCCACCTCAAGGGAGCCTCTGTGGGATGTGCTCCATGTCCTTGGGAACTGGAAGAGCCACAGGCAGCCTTCCTGAAGTGTCTATTTTGGCCTCAGAGGTTTGGGGTCAACCCCACTCAGAACCAACAGAGTAGAAGTTTGTTATCTCCCTGGAAGTTCTCAGGACCTAACTACTTCTAAGTCCAGAGCTAGGTTAGGGCCCAAAGGAGACAGGAGGTAACTGAATTGAAAGAGATCACTTAGACAATTAGAAGGTTCGTGAGCTTCCCTGTCTCTTGAGACATTCAAACAGAGGTTGAAGGTAAAGGGTACTCTGGCCTCAGACTAACCTGCTGGATTCCTTCCAGTCAACTCTTTTGGGGAATCTATTTATTTAATAGGATAAAGCCCCCTCATGTTCTTCCTGGTTGGTACTGCAAGGCAAGAAATGCATATCTGAGGAATTGCTTGAGGTAGAGGGGTCTCCTTCTTCTCCACTTAATTCCCAGCGTTGTTTGCCATCTTCACTGACAGCTTTTTGTCTCTGACTTCCCTATTCAGACCTCACTTGGTCCCCAACGAGTGAGGGACTTGCTTTCTCAAAGTTCTTGTTTTCAGCTGAATTTTAAATGTCCTTTTGACATTTGAAGTTGGTGCTGGGAGCTGGAGTGACCTGGGGTAACCTCAGTTCAGCCACTTTCTGGCCCCATGAACTTGATCAGGCAAGTTATTGAACTTCTTTTTCAGTGATGATTCCTTCATGGGTTCCCTCCTTGTCTTTTGAAAGCCTCCTTTTTCTCCTCACACACATTCCATATGACTGTTTCTATGAGGAAAACCACTTCATTCCAACAAAGGAATGTTGGTGTCTGCCAGGCCTGCTAAGCGGCAAACAAGCTTTTGGCACTTGCAAGTATGTGGGGAGGAAGTCAAGAGCTCCCAGAGCCTGTAGCAGCTTGTCCAGCTGTTTCCTTAGCAAAGCCAGTCAAGCTCTGTCATTTTAATGTGGCTCGTGCCCTGGTAATGCCCCAGAGGCTGGCAAACAGCTGGTAAATAGTGGCAGAACACATTCAACTCCACGTGGAAAGTGATTCAATTAATCTCCCCTATTACTCTGGCTGTTCTTGAAAGGCTGAAATCAACCAGTTCCCCCTGTAGAGTCATACAATCTTCTGGCTTTCTTGACACCAGTCAACATGAGGTAGATAAAACTCTCATTTTTCTCCCATCTGTAAGAAGCCAGGTCCTATTTGGATGACAGTCAAGGAAAGATCCAGTTGTCTATCCATTTCTTCCCCAGAAAGGTGAGAAATCAACCAGATGCACACAGCACTGCTCATCACCTCGTGCACAGGCTTCTAATGAATATTCATATCACGAATCCTGGTGTACCTTATTTCCGCTTTCCTCCATCAGGCAGGGCATGTTAGTAGAGACAGACAACAGAGTTTTGGTCACTAAACGTAATTCTCTTCCATGTTCATGTACAAATCACAGCCCTTCACGTACCAGACGTCACAATCCCCTCCCTCCCACCCTCCATGCCTCTTCTTTCCTTCTTTCTGGGAAATCTATTTCCTAATGAGAACCTTGTAATCTGGAAAAGAGCCAACAAGTGTTGAGCTACTTAGCCTTCATCCGATAGTAGAATTCTGGAAGACAAAGCTACCTCTAATCCCTTGCTCTCTTCCCTGTGGCCACACTGTATGCCCGTGAGAAGTTTGCTGAATTTAAACTGTCCCTCATCACTGAGCTAAAATAGGCAATGTACAAATACACAAGTCATTGAGTAATTTACTCAACAAATATTGCTAAGTATCTACTAGGCACTGGGGCTCTGCCTATGCAGGGGCTCAGAGAGAGCAGTAGGCTAGACAAAATACTCCATCCCCTTATAAAGCTCAGGATCCCATAGAGGACACTCTTAAATAAAAACATGGTGAAGCGAGGATTTCGATAGCAAAGTCAACAGATGGTCTATTACTTCTAACAGGATTAAACTTCCTATGCCTTGAGGGTTTTTTCCTATCTTTTATCTATTCAAGCATATAATGCATTTGTTGAGCCCCTACCCTGCTTGGGGAAGGCAGTGATGGGTGAAAGACATGGATGCTGCCACTGAGATGACACATGCTGCTGGGGAGAAGACACAGCAACAGTGGCCCATTAGTGTGGTGAGAGCTGGGAGAAAAGCATGAGATGGCAGGAACAGTGGTGTGGGGCTGGTACAGTGTTGGGGGGCAGGGCTGCTTGGGTAAGACCATTCAAGAAGCTGGACAATATCACCAGGACCGTGCAAGAGGCTGCCTTCATCCCATAAATAGATTTCTCAAATAGGATCTTGTATGGGAGAAGGCATAAGGAATTATAATAATCTCCAAATGAATGTGAGATATTTTTATTATTTTCTAGGGATAGACATTTGAAATCATTGTGAACAGATCTTTTATTAAAAACTTGATTTCCTTACAAATACTAAAACAAATCTTTTATATTAATGTAAGCTGCTAATTCAATTCCCAAATTCTTTGAGAGCAAGGATTGTTTTCCTCTAAAATCACATTATTTATGAAAACCCTAGACTTCTAGTCAAGATGGCAGCATAGAAAAACATGGCTCACCTCCTCGCACAATCAAATCAAAATTACAACTAAATTATAAAATAACCATCACTTACAACCATCAGAATTTGAGTTGAATGGAAGTCTGACAAAAATGGAATTAAAGAAACCACGTCCAGGTAGACTGGTAGGAGGGGTGGAGACACAGACACACCCATGTGTCCTGGGTGAAAATTAGGGAGGGATATCCCAGAATCAAGGAGTTCCAGCCCTACAACAGGTGAACCAGCCCAGGGTTCCAATACCAGGAAGATAAGTCCCCATAACTTCTGGCTGAAAAACCCAGTAGACATTGAGTCAGTGGAAGAAACTTCTAGAGTCCCACACAGTTCCTCCTAAAGAACCCACACATGGACACACCTACTCAGATTCACTCCCTCTGAGCTCCAGCAACAGGTTAGCAGCTTGGAAGGTACCAGTGGCATATGGGGAGGAAATGAAGGGTCCTCTACCAAGGCAAGAGCTGAAAGACAGCTTTCTCCCAGACAGAAAGGCCATTGTCCCTTTTCTGAACCCTCCCCCCATACAGCCACAGAGCCTGCAGGTGGGTGCCATATCTGAGACTCCATCAACCTGGCTAAGCAATTCCGCCCCACTATGACTTCTGCCCCTGAAGTTATACCACCCAGTTACAAGTACACCCAAGCTGTTAACAGAGACTTTTCCATACAAATGGCTGGTCTTGGCTCATGCTTCACAACCTCCTAAATCCTCACAAACAATCAACAGCCAGAATCAGTTACCCCAGCTCCTATACCTCTTGCTAAGCGGCCCCAGGTGCTGCACTAGCAGTAGCCAACTGAGATTCACAGCTTTGCTTCACCTGAGAATGTCCAAGTCCAACACAAGTAGCAACCATCTCAGACTGCTTTATAGCCCAGGCAGGGTGGCCCCAGGTAAAACACAAGTGGAGGCAGACCTCGGCCTGCACCAAGAAACCCCAGAGCTTATGCACCCAGTGGACAAAAAACAAGGATGGTGTTAGCAGTCTATGGGACAAATTGAAGCATTCCAACATTGGCATCATGGGGGTGCCAGAAGAAGAAAAAGAGCAAGAAGTTGGAAATCTATTTGAAAAATTAATGAAAGAAAACTTTCCTAATTTGGTGAAGGAAATAGACATGTAAGTCCAGGAAGCACAGAGTCCCAAACAAGATGTGTGCAAAAAGACCCACTCCAAGATACATCATAATTAAACTGTCAAAGGTTAAAGATAAAGAGAGAATCTTAAAAGCAGCCAGAGAAAAGCACTCAGTTACCTACATGGGAATTCCTATAAGACTGTCAGCTGATTTCTCAAAAGAAACTTTGCAGGCTAGAAGGGAGTGGCAAGAAATACTCCAATTCATGAAAACCAGAGACCTACAGCTAAGATTGCTGTACCCAGCAAAGCTATAATTTAGAATTGAAGGGCAGATAAAGAGCATCCCAGACAAGAAAAAACTAAAGGAGTTCATTGTCACCAAGCCCTTATTATATGAAATGTCAAAGGGACTTATTTAAGAAAAAGAAGATCAAAACTGTGAACAATAAAATCACAGACATATCTATCAACAATTGAATCTAAAAAACAAGTGAAGCAAACAAGAACAGAGACAGAATGATGGGTACAGAGAGCACTTTGATGGTTGTCAGGTGGGAAGTGGGTGTTGGGAGAATGGGTGAAAAGGTGAGGTGATAAAGAAATACAAATAGGTAGTTACAGAATAGCCAGGAGGATGTAAGGTCCAGTGTAGGAATTGGAGTAGCCAAAGAACTTACAGGCATGACACGTGGACATGAACAATGGTGTGGGGATTGACTGAATTAATGAGGGGTGTTGGGTGGAGGGGAACAAAGTAGAGAATTGGGAGAAGTGTAATAGCATACTCAATAAAATATAATTGAAAAAACCCTAGAAGTTGTGGATGAATTGTATAAAGGCTCAGTTAAAATCTAATGTCACTTTAATTAAAGGAGAAAAGAACTGCTATGCAAGCTAGTAATGTGAACAAAAATAACATCAGGAATATTTCAACCACTTAAAAGAAGAAAATATATAAGAACATAAGCATTCATTTAAAAAATAACTGTTCATTACAAAACATCCTGCCATAATCGTTAAAGAGATCAATCACTTAGTGACACTTACGGCAGCATTTTATTACCTTAATTATACTTAATAATAACAAACAACAATTTGGTATAGCCTCTTAAAGTTCATAATGTATATTTACATAAATTGACTCCAATGTTTCTCACCAGAATCCCTTAATGTTGATAACATAATTTCCATTTTATAGATAAAAAATCCAATGTGAACACACGGAGAAAAAATGAGAAAGAACAAGAAGAGAAACAGGAGGAAACCAGCAAAAAGAAATGTCAAGTGGACTAAGGGCAATAGTATAGAGTTTCTTGGATATCTCCAAAAGTGAGAAAGAACAGAAAAATACCTGTTTAGCTTGGCAGTTAGGAGACCAATAGTGATAGGAGCAAGGGCAAATTCTGTTGAATGCTGGAAAATAAACTCTTGTGCTGTAGGTTGCTCTCTTGATCAGGTCTGCCTTCACGGGAAGGAGAGAAATGGAGTAGACTTAGAAGGTATGTCCTTTGATTGGGGATTGCTCAGAACTTTTTTTTTTCTCTCCCTCTTTCTTTTATGTGAGAGAGACATATCTGGCATAAAATAAGCACATAGCTATTTTAGCTATTATTATTGTTGTTTTTATATTATTAGTTGCATAGGAAGAATAAGAAAGAAGTTCAGAGTGTTGCAGTAGGATTCCAGTGAGATAAGCTGGGAGATGAGGATGATGAGGAAGGAAGGTGTTGCCTCTGGAGCATGAACTCTTTAAGAACTGAGGCTTTGGACTTTACTTCCCAACTGTCTACCTTCTACTCTTTCAGCAATAAATATTGAAAATGGTAAGAGTAAAAAAGCAGTATCAGTATCCTTTGAGTTTTGCAATATATTATACTAAATACAGAACCTAACTTTCTGGAGAGAAAAACAAAAGGCAATCAAACATGCAAGACTTCATATCCCTGGGCTACTGAGAGCTACATATAGGAATTAAAGAGGATTATGAGTTTTCATGATTATTTGGCTAAAGATGTAATTATAAGATTTAAAATGTGTTCATTTTTGCTTGGTGAAGAGATGATATGGTATTCAGAACTGAAATATGAAGTTAAGGAACTTATTTAAGAAAAAGATAAAAACTATGAACAATAAAATAGCAAAAATAGATATCTATCAACAATTGAATCTAAAAACCAAACTAAGCAAACAAGAACAGACAGAATCATGGATACGAAGAGTGTTCTGATAGTTGCCAGATGGAAAGGGGTGGGGGAGACTGAGTGAAGAGGTTAGGGGATTAAGAAGTACAAATAGTTACAGAATAGTAGTTACAGAATAGCCATGGGGATGTAAAGTACCGTATAGGAAACGGAGCAGCCAAAAAACTTAGATGCATGACCCATGGCCATGGACAATGGTTGGGGGCTGCCTTAGGGAGTGGGGGGTGCTGAGTGGAGGGGGGCAAAGGGGAAAAATCAGGACAACTGTAATAACATGATCAATAAAGTATAATTATTTTAAAAAAAGATATCTGCCAGGCTGAACATGCCCATCAGGAAGCCTGCAGCACATTCACCTGTCCCAAAGAAGAGAGGGCATCGCTGGGCACCTGCAGGGCAGGGTGAACGGAGTAGACGAGGAGCTGGGTGTTTAGCAACCAACTCCTCCATGTTTCCTCAGTAAATCCATTGTTGTTTTTAAAAAAGATTTTGTTTATTTATCTTTCAGAGACATGGGAAGTGTGGGAGAAAGAGAGGAAGAGAAACATCAATTGGTTGCACATGTGCCCCGACCAGGGACTGAACCTGAACCCAGGCCTGTATTCTGACTGGGAATCGAACTTGGGAACTTTACAGTATGATTCCTAACCAACTGAGCCACACTGGTCAGGTCTCCACTGTCAATTTTTTTATATCTTTCCTCCTTAAAAGTCACCAAAATGTCCTAGAAATGGCCATGTGTCCACTCCCTAACTTTCCTGATAGCCTCTTTAACCCAGCTGTAGCATTAAGGATCCATTGTTAGGCCCTGGCCAGTTAGCTCATTTGGTTGGAGCATTGTCCTAATATGACAAGGTTATGGGTTCAATCTTCAGTCAGGGCATATCTAAGAATCAACCAATGAATGCATAAATAAGTGAACAACAAATTGATGTTTCTCTCTTTCTCTCTCTCTCTCAAATTAACCAATAAATTAATTGACTTAAAAATAAAAATAAGAAAGAATCCATTGTCTTGGCCATGGTTCCTGGCTCTTGCCTGAGAAGTTAGGGTCACTGTGTCTATGGATCAGGAATAACTGATGTTGTTGGGCTTTCTCCTCTGCTAATGGAGATCATCTTGACATTACAGTAAGGACACATTTCTCTCATCTCTCTTCTGTGTGGCTGACTATCTAGATAGTGCAGGTAATGGTAGCAAGCTTACAATTTATGAGCATCTTAAAGGGCCAATTCTCTAAGGGGTCACTGGGACACAGTTTTAGGGATCCATGGTGTGGCTGGAGCCTGCTGGCCACAGAGCAGCAATTAGGGAGGAGAAACACCTTCATGCAGAAGGTGCTCGTCAGCCTTCAAGAACAAGAATGAGGTGTACCTTGAGCTATTAGTGCTGAAGGCAATTCAGTTCTGTGAGAACCATGATAATTTCATGAGCAGTTCTGAGTACTGTAACAGGCCTATCCCACTTCATGAAGCAAAATTAAATTTCATTGGTCCCACTGCTTTCCTGGTATCTTATCCATTCTCTATGTGTTTCAACATACCTGAATTCAGGGTTTACTATGTACCTGGCTCTGTGGACAGAAATGCAATAAAAGTGTCAGCTTTCAATGAGTTCACATTCCAGTGGGGAGAGGAGAACACTAAAAACAAAACAGTGAGGTGAGAGCTGTAACAGGAGGCCACATGGAAGCTGGAGGAGAGAAACAGTAATTTCACCTTCCATGGTGTTAATATTAGAAACATCAACACCCCCTTAGGGAAACTGAGGAAGGGGGTTGAAGGAGACATTCTCTAGCAGAAAAGAGGCAGGTTGCATCCCAAGAGGAAGGTAGTGTGTCAGAGAGCATGGCCGAATGGGAGTGGCAGCTGCCCACTGCTCTGGAGTTGAGCCTTGGTCTGTGATGAGGGCAGTCACTGAAGGCTGGGGTGACGGTGGCAGTGTGAGCAGCCACTGGAGGAGGGAGTAGGGAGAGCCATCTGGGGACTAAAGACACAGTTTGTGCAAGAGATAATAAGGGTGAGATTGCAATAAGAGAAGACAAGGAAGGGGAAATTTGAGAAATACTCTTAGGCAAAAATCATGAGGATTTGGGGAATGAAGAAACAAAGAATAACTCCCAGGGATCAGGTGACTGGGGGAAGAAGAGAGGAAGAAAATTCAAAAACTAGCACCAGGTCACCCTGACCAGGTAGATCAGTTGGTTGAAGTGTTGACCTGTACACCAAAAGGTTGAAGGCTCTAACCCCAGTCCGGGCACATATGAGAGGCAACCGATCAATGTTTCTCCCTCACATCGATGGTCCTCCTTGTCTTCTCTCTCTAAAATCAATGGATATATCCTTGGGTGAGGATTAAAAAAAAACAACAACTACCACCAGGTAAACCAAGGGAATGAAAGCCCCAACGAGAGAGTGGCCTTCAGTGGCACGCACAGACAGAGGGGTATGTCTGAGGAGGCCAGGCCCCAGAGTACCAGGAGGAACTGGAAGGCAATGAGATGGTCAGTGGATACAAACTGTCATATTAAGGCGTCTGACCAAGAAGGAAAGAAGTTAGAAGGAGATATAAAATCAAGAAAAGGTTCTTTTTCTTGTAAACACAGGAGACCCCTGGGTGTATGTGCACACTCATGTTGTGTGTTGGCTACAGGAAAAGAGGCTGTCTCTGAAAAAGTCATCAGAACATATGCAGCAGCAGAAGTGGCACACAGGGCAGTCATGGAAAAACGACAGTTACTCTGACCACTCACCCTGCCGTCAGGAGCGTCCCTGCTCTGAATGACAAGGGGCTGCCCCACAGAGAAACTGGTTTGTAACAGGCAAGTGAAGAATACAGACATCTGCTAGGAAAGGAACTATAACCTTCATATGACTGTGTGCCTTGGTTATTGGAAATGTGTTCTCATTGTCACTCCTATCTTCTTCATACCAGAGAGTTAAGGAAGCAGACTTAACTACAGGAAGATCTGAGGTAAGTGTTCCTTAAAGAAAATCCAAACACTTCGGTGGGAGAGACCTGATTACTAGTGGAATGAGTGCTAACTGCTCAAATTTAAGTTTTTAAGCATTTGTTGAAATCTCACTCTGCCAACATTATTTAAAGTCAATACTATGATTTTTCATTACCATCATTAATAAAGCCAAGAGACACATAAAAACTGGTAAAATTACACGACTAGGGCCGTCACCAGTGTGTCAGGAAACAATGTCATTTAGATATAGTGTTGTTTTTTTTCTGGTCCTGAGCTGTAGCAGATTCGGCAGGAAGTAGGAATCCTAGGATAGAACAGAGGATGTGCCAGCAATTTAACATGCACATTACCTGCTCCTACCATGCTCTCAAATCAGTAAGGTTTCTGTGAACCTGGCTGGGAGGACAGGGAAGGCCAGCAGTGTGGCAGAGACACTTGTCTGCCTCCTACCCTCAGCCATCCCTCTTACAATAGGTGGCCCAAATTACTGAGCAGGGGTCTACAGCCCATCCGGCCTTCTCCAAACACCTGATTAGTCATGGAGAGAAGGGGCCACTGTCCGAACCTGGGGGGCACCATCCTGCCTCCCGCTCTTTGTGCAGGGAATGAATGTGTGGATGCTGCAAATAGATGTTATGATCAGCAATATTCAATACAGCTTTCTAATCATAAACTGCTTTTTCCTAATACGCAGGTTTTTACTCAAAGGACACAGTAATATCTTGAAAGTATTCCAGATAATACTAGCTACTACTACTGAAGTGACTGAGTTAGAAAGCTTACTTCTTAATAATGTTGCTTTCCTTATTATGGATAGAAGCTCACTTTGCAAGGGCAGCTTGCGGTTCCTGAGTTCTGAGAGGATGACCAGCCCGGACAAGTTGCTCAGGATGTCCACCACGGTGGTGACAAAGAGCACGGCAGACAGAACGGCTGCCACCCAGGGAGGCTGAGGATACCCCTGATGGGTGCATGCAGCTCACCTCTGCCAGCCTCGCCGCGAGGCCCACCCACCCGCCTCGCAGCAGTTGGCAAAAGATCCCTTCTCAGGCATCTTAGACTCTCTTGCACTGTGCTGCAGCCACCGCTCCGCCCCTTCTTTGACACAAGGCATGCAACGCACTGAGGTGCACTCCTGCTGCCCCCTTCCCTGCCCAAGCGGTGTGGGCTAGCGAGGATGCAAATGGGAAGAGAGCTAAAGGAGGTAATGAAGCAAGTCTGGGCAGGGAGCAGAGAAAAATACGGGAACAGGAGAACTTGGGGTGCACGCGTTGCTGATAGGAGTATGTCCCTTGGCAGGTCCCTGAAGAGCCGGGTACATCAGGGAGCTGCTTATTCTGCCACCCAGAGACCAGCATGTGTCTCGTCCGGCTCAGATTTCGGTTCTGGAGCGCACCGCCAAGCCCAAGGACTTTCCCCTCTGGAGCAGCTGTGCTCAGGAAGGGACACCCAGGTTTGCGGACTAAATAAGGTGCTGGTTGTCCAGACCTGCTGTTGTCAAAAGAGCAAAGTTTGAGGCCCCACAGGGCTGTGCAGCTCCAAAGAGAAGTAATCCCCAGGGTGTGGGGACAGATCTCAGAGCAAAGTAAGGGAGAAAGTTACATTGTTGACAGCTACAGGAGAAAGGCGAACCAGCGCTATTTATCGAGCACTTGCTGTTCATCACGGGAGACATTGGCAATGTCTCGTTATAAAGCAGAGACAATACTTTGATAAATTTATGAACATCTATTTAAACTTAATAATACTTAAATAGATGCAAGGTCAATATTTGGGGTTGTTATAGGTTTTAGAGGGGTTAGAACAAAAAGAAGAGAAGATATATAGGAAAGAAGAAACTTAGATGCCCTTTATTTAAAATGTTTGAGCATTTACTCTGATAATAACAATAACTAACCTCTTTAGAGGGCTAAGGTTATGCCAAGCACTGTGCTAAGCACTTCTTGTATCACTAGAATTACTAAAATGTAAAAGGCTGATACTCCCAAATGTGGCAAGGAGGTGAAGCACCTGGAAGTCTCACATATTGCTTCCATTAGAATGCAAAATGGTACAGCCACTGTTAAGAGCTGTTTGGTATTTTTTTTTATAGGGCTAAACCATCCTGTGATCAACAGTGAAATGCATATTAAATAAGTAAAACACATGCCCACAAAAATATCTCTGCAAGAATATCCAGAGCAGTCTTATTTGTAGTAGCCTAACCCTGGAAACTGCCCAAGTGTCCATCAACAGATGAGTGGCATACTCCTACAAGGGAGTACCACTCAGCAATAAGAACTACTTGTTGGGAGCTGACCAACAGCTGACCTTTGACACAGTCAGGTTGGATGAGACTCATCTGCACAGCAGAGGCTACTGTGGTCAGATCTACTGTCTATCTCTTCCTGTATGCCTGTCCCTGCTAGCAATAGGTGGCGGGGTTTTGGGATACCTGTGCATTATAACAAAAAATCTGCATGATGCCTCTGATTCTGCATGACATGACTTGCTAACCACAGAATAGAGACCCCTAGCAACCCTAATGTTGCCTGCTTCCCTCACCTGGGAAGTTAAGGATAAAATTAAACTATGGACAGATCAACTGCCAGAACGCTGAAGGAAGCTGTTGCTAGGAATGTTTCTTAGGGAATTACCACTTAAAAGCTTAAGATTTATTAGAGCCACTACCCCTCCTCTACCCTGGACAGGAGTGTATAGAAGCAAGGAGTTCTAGTTGAAAATAATAATCTCAATACATAGAAACAAACACAAAACATGCCCCCCAAAGATGTATAAATAAAAAAACCTAGGCAAAAGACCAGTCACCTAACCAAGACAAATCTAACCTTAACTGATAATAGTTGATTTCCATATACCTATAAATCACCCCTTGCACCCTTTTAATTTAGACCAATCCCTAGAATTTTAATAGATGCCTAGTTACTAATTGGCACCTGAGAGTTTATGCCCATATCTAATATGGCTATTTAATTAATGACCCTCTTGGTCAAAATAACCTTTGTTTAATATGGTTGATCTGTGGGACCTCCTGTAGTTTTTGGTTATTTCTTTGTTTAACATGATTGATCTGTAAAACCTTCTGTGTTTTTAGAAATTATTTCTGTGGTAACTGTTTCTGTTTTAATAATCATACTATGCATTGAATGTTGTATAACCTCCCCTATAAAAATAAAGATTGATTTTTCTGGGTGAGTCAGTCGGGCCCAAAAAGCCTGGCTGTCCTCCAGCACCCCACCGGGTGTCTCGCTTCAGTCTCTTCACCTTAGCCATGCATCCTTCGGGGACCCTGAGACCCCGCCGAGGCTGGACCCTGGCAACTACTGATGTTCACAACAACATGGATTATCTCCAAATATTCTATTGAACAAAGGAAGCAAGGTACAAAAGAGTACATACTATATAATTTCATATATACAAAATCCAAAACAGGAAACATTAATCTGAAGTGATAGAAATCAGGACAAAGTTTGCCTTTGGGGGTGAAGACTGACTGGAACAGAGTACAGATTAAATTTCTGAAATGTTATTTGTATGTGTGTTTTAATATAAATTATACTCTCACCCCCAACCCCAAACACAAAACCAAAAAGGAAGAATGAGCCTTGGCTGGGTAGCTCAAGTGTCGTCCCCATGCACCACGGTTGCTGGTTTGCTCCCCCGTCAGGGCACATACAACAAGCCACCAGTTGTACAACCAGTTGTACAGTGAGTACATCATTAAGTGGAACAACAAATAGATGTTTCTCTTTCTCTTTCTCTCTCAAATCAATCAGTAAAAAATGTTTCTTAAAACTTTTTTAAGAAAGAAGAATGCAGTGTTAAGGGAGGGACTCTGATGAGGTGATGATGCAGAAGATGATAATTAAAGGAACAAACTTCCTGAGAGATGAGCTCATCCAGGAAGGGATATTGTTGTTGGAGGAGAGAGGCTTTTTCCTCCACAGTGGAAAGGAAGCAGAAGCCAGGTGCCAGTTCAGAAGTGCTTCTTCATTGGTGTAAGAAGATGAGGGAGTTCCTTTCTGGTTGCTATATTCTCAGGAAGTTTGAGTCTCCCTCATTAGTCAGCATTCAGGGAAAGAGAGTGTGGGATGTGTGCAAACAGAAGGTATGGAATGTCATTTAAGAAAATGGGAGCATTACATAAGAAAGGATGACAGGTATGTCAGGAGAGCAAGTACCCCTGTAGTTTAAGATTGAGGTAATAGTGATACCCAAACTTTGGTCATCTCTGTGCCACACTGGAAGAAGAGTGGTCTTGGGCCACACATTAAATACTTTGTGACATGTCATCACAAAACGAATCTCATAATACTTTAAGTAAATGTATGATTTTGTGTTGGGTTGCATTCACAGCTATCTTGGACTGCATGAGGCCCATAGGCCATAGGTTGGACACCCCTGTGCCAGCCAGCTACATAGGGGGTTGTTAATGAGCAACTTGGAGCTGCTCTGGACAGGCACAGAGAAGGCAGAGTGAACTCAGTGAGGATTGGGGTTTTCAGCCAGGAGTAAATAACAGAAGGAAGTTCAAGGGCATGATGGGAGGATCGATTTACATTAAATGAAGGGTGATAAGAAAAATATAAGGGGGCTGATAGACCAGAAGAAAGATGTTGTATCAAAGGATTATAGGAATTGAATTCAAAGAATTGTGGTGAGTGAATTTGAAAAAATAGATTGTGGTATTTTAGAGAGTGACTTGTTTGAAACTGAGGTTTCTGAGGGGCATAGATTCTACTGATGCAAGGGCTCCAGTGGTGATTGTGTGGTGGGGTGGTGGGGTTCTGGAGGAAGGTGATGGAAAGCTTTTTGGAAACGGGAAGCTTACAGACCTGAGAAGTCAGGGGGTGAATATTATGGAGATAAGATTTAAAAAACAAAACAAAACAGAAAACCTGTGAGTCAAGAGGCAAATCCCCAGTGACTAAGACAAAATGACCAGCCAGTTGGTAGGAGAGTTACAGCAGGAAGAAGGGACAGCCAAGCTTTCCTTATCCCACACACACATATCAAACATGTAATGGCACTTCTTTGGTTTTTAACAGCCCTCATAACAATAAATGAGTTGAATATAGTATAAATTGCCATAGTTCAGACACACTAACAACACATATTTGATTAAATGAGCATGAAACAGGAGTTTGTCCTGTGTTGCCCTAGGATGTGATGGTGCACACCTTGCCATATCCACAACAGTGTATCTCAAGGCCTGTGGGCACTAAGAGTTGGGGTACTTTCTACCTAAGAAGTCAATGTTGTGTCTTGGTACAGCTGGCCAGGCTGTGACTTAAAAAGGTAGGGAAATGATGCAGCAACTTTGGAAGACAATATGACAGTTTCTTACAAAACTAAACAAACACACTTTTACTGTGAAATCCAGTAATTGCACTCCTTGATACTGTCAACAAGAAGTTACTGCTACCAATCTAATACCAACAGGAGTCCCAATCTAGGAGGCAGAAAAAGGAGAAACATTTTCAGGTACACAGACTCCACTATGCTACCAATAAGACAAACTAAAGCAAATCTAGAGACAGGAGTCACGATGTTGAGGAGGTTGGAGCTATGACACCTGAGGTGATGGAGAGCAGTGCTCAGATTTACGAGAGAGGGTGTTACATTCAAGGAACTGAGAAGATATCTCCAAAGGAGTAAGGTCAGGGCAAAGAGGCTAGAGAATGTGCTATGACAGGAACTGGTCCATGCAAGCCTCAAAGGCACCTTGAAGACTATAGACTTAATTCCAAGTGCAGTGGAATATGTTGAGGGGTTATTCAGACATCTGTACCTACCCCACTTTTGCAGTCCTCCCTTCCAATGCATCCAGGATGTCTACAGCAGAAGGCAATTCCCATGTTAATGTCCAAGTGTAGAAGGGTGGCGATTGACTCCAGTGTTCCAGGCTGGTGGACTCCTAACCTAAGATGACTCCTTTCACAATAGGTGAAATCAATAGTGGCTGCAACAGCAAAATCAAAGTAATGAGAAGAAAACTCAAATTCTGAAGAAGGGAAGGGAGAGAGACAAAGGAGAGAGGTTCAAGATTTTTAA